ACATAGTCACCCCACACTGACCTGAAGCCGGCAGCATGGTTTGAAGGGGAAGTATCTGAGTTAATCACTAACCTTGTAATTCTCTGTCACTCAGAGTTAAGATCAGAAATCTCATTGTGTCCAAAAGATAGCAGCAGTAATAACACCAGAACACTGTTTAATGCTTTCAACGTAGTAAGCTTGAGCCTTATTAATGCATTGGAGATTATTCTTTTACTAAATTACAGGTTTAATGTATGATACCAGCTCTATCCTAAGCTTCTATGTTGTGAAGATACTCATTCTTCTTAAGTCCTGTTTTCTTCTCCATTTGTAATGTCATATCTAATTTGCCATAACTATCTACAAACTGTAATTGTGAGGACTGAGGATCATTAGGGTGTCCTGTGAAGGCCCCCTGTAACCTATATTTTCCCAGCTGCTGCCTTTTTGAATTAGAAAAACTGAGATGGCAATCATACATACTGTACACTGCCTCTCTTCTTTAACAAACATTCTTTCAATATAGTTCCTCTCCGCTACATCTCAGTATGATATACTTTTTTAACAGCAACACCTACACCAAATTGATTCAAATCTAACATTTTGCACCATCACAAGTCATTACTCCTTTTCCAAATCCCAAATGGAATATTTATAAATGGTTAGTTCCACGGCTGAGTTTGCAATTTATTTGCATACTGACTGGCACTGACAATCATACAAACTGATCTCACTCCATGAATCAGTGGTAGTTAGTGTACACATTATTTGGTGTTCCTAAAAGCCAAGTCATTCTGAGAGTATTTCAGGCACCAGCATCTTATAGTAGTGTAACTTCACTGCTTTCATGTTACACAGGCTAAATTTCAGGATCTATGACACCTCTGGCTTATGGGTCAGTTCGTTACAAAATAAGATATTTCAAATAAAAATAAAGTACTGTCTCAGATTTTAATTAAGCACATTACCTGTGTGGTTGTTAATGAAGAGGAGCGCATTTAAAATATCTATTAGATTTGGCCAGCAGCTCAGAAGTAATATCTATTTACAGTTTTACATTTTGAGGGCATTCAAAATTCAAATTGCTGTATACCAAGATTCATTTGAGATACTCTAATGGTTTTGGTCACCATTTCGGAAGTAAAGCCTGACTTGAAAAATTAGGTAAATGTGAAGAGACCAATGCTGAAACATGAATTTCAAGTTAAAGGATACAGTCTGCTTATTTACATATGATATGAACTCTATGTTTAAATGTAATATTTTTGCTTTCAAATGTAGGTTTTCTCCATGTTTGCCACATGGTTTCTGGGAAGAGTCTGCTCTTGGCAGTCTAACTATGACAGAATAAGCTATCAGAAGCAACCTAGCATAAAATATAAGAATACTGGGGGATACTCTTTCATTGCAGTGTATACGAATTTGACAATCCGGTATAATCA